GCGACTACACACACATAAATTCTATGGCAGTGTGTGGAGAGAAAACTATTAGGTGGCACGAACAACGAACTTTTGGATCACATATGTGTGTGTATGTGTGTATGGCTGTATGTATTTTATGTCGTAAACAAAGTTCGAAGTTTACGGTTAATAAACCTGAAGTCAAATAGAGTTTTGCTTCTTTCCAAAAAAGTGATTTAGTGACTATGAAGCATAATATTGCATAGGGAAACATTGGGACTACCAGCGTGGTATGCAGTAAATTTTGAGTCCAATTGAGCAGTAATGAGACTTATTCCCACAAGAGTAACAAAAATGTACTGCGACCTGATTTCGAGGAGCTGTTTCGTAAATTTAGGAGAGCTTGGGGGTGTCAAAAAGCAATAATTAAAAATTTTTAAAAGTAATGTATCCACAAATATGTGCTATATGCTACGAACAAATTAGCTTATCGATTTTTCAAATACATAACGGTACTTACACGTGCCCTTGAGACATTCGCAAAACTTGACTATTAATTTATTTGTAAATTGCCTAATAATCTATGTCCATTAATGSACAAGCAATATGGAAACCCCAGTTGGCTTGTACAGAAAATTTGCCAGCGCCACCAGAAAAGTGTTTAAATATGCAAATGAATGCAATCAACGCTCAATTCATCAATTTAAAGCTAACACTGTCAGTGTCCACAGCAGGTATAGCGGTATTGAGCTGCTAGTGACGTATACGCAGCGTAGTCCACACACGGGAGACCGATTGTCTTGTGCAACCAACTGTGAACCATTGCCTCGTCGGCCTTTGTGGATGGGCATTTGCATTTTAAATGCAACAAATCGACTTCCGACCTCAATGCTAATATATCATGCTGATATCAATGTCCAAGCGAACAAATAAAATGCCACCAAAGGGGTGACACAGATCGTTTTGGCGCTCTGCTGTTGAACGGAAACGCAATTCTTGCGCCAGTAAGAATCGTCAGCTGCAGTCGCTTYTTATTGGTTGCTAATAATTCGCTCAAATTGGTCAATTTCAAAAAATGTGAGAGACTATGCGCTATTTATTGRAAATAGATAATTATTTGGGATGACACTGACACTGAAACTGCATTTCACATTTCTCACGTGATATGTAAGTGTAAAGCAATTCAAACTTTCTAAAATTCCWAAAAAATTTAAAAAATATATATACATATATTTGATGAACAATATAATTCTTGTTACTATTTAAAATATGTTTCTTCGAGTTTRTTTGCTGAAAATTCATAAAGAAATATTTAAAAAATATTTAATTCCCCTTTGATTGCGTATCAATTCTAATATAATGGACCAGTAGGACTACAAAAATTTTTTAATTTTCTCTGACGAAGAGCTTCAGCAATAGACAAGTTGCTTAAATCTTTGCTAGGATGAAAACTTTAGCTAGAAACATTTTTCTCAAAAATATTTYCGAAATCGCGTACGAAGTCAGTACTGTAAACATAAAATTCAGSAATGACGTGGCGAGCGTTCTGTCTCCATATAAAACTGTATTTCTTTTTATCGCCACTAAATTATAGTGTCCTCAAATAAGTAATAGTTACCTTCGTTACTTATTTATTCCTCGAAGTAGCAAAGTAGAATAGCAATTATTCAAGTTCAATTAATTTTATTTGATTGACTGCAACAGCACCACAGACCATTTACGCACATAAACACACCCATATGTATATAAGCTTACACATACATGCGAATGTTACTTTGATAGCACTGGCATTGGTAGGTCGGCATATGTGTAACTCATACGCCACAGCGAACAACTTGAGTAAAAGAAAATAGTAGTGTTTAATAAGCTAACAACTTTCCATTAAGTTTCATTTGCTGGGGCTTAACTATTCATTTAAAAATACATATTCCTTTTTGTGTATTTCCCGCTAAAGCTTCTTATAGAACAGCAACGGCTCTCAAAGGTGGCGTAAYGTAGGACTTTGTTGCCATTTTGGGACAGTAATATTACTGTCAAGATATTGGAATAAATAATTTACGAATTGAGAGCCAATACAATTTTCTATTATTGGTTGTAATTGGTCTACAGGGTGATGACCTATGTATATTTAGTATGTCTTCCGCAAGTTGGTGATATTATTGGTTGCTAACAGGGTCATTGGTTTAAGCTGTTCTTTCCAGCTTATATATAAATAACCTTAAGTCGAAGTGATCTTCATTTTGATTTTGACTGATTAGTCTATATGCCAGCTATATGCTGGATCTGAACAATTTGTTAGGATTTTGTAGCGTTTGTGGAGATATCCCGTAAAATGAAAATGGTTTCTACACATGGGAATGTCTTTCATCGGGCAGTTTGTAAGGCGTAACAGCTGTTTGGGAAGAGAAGTCATTTGCAATGAATTTCAGATTGAGTTCACAAAAACTGAGAGACCTGTTTGTATATATTCATGAAGACGGACATGTTTGCATTGTCTCAGCTCGACATGCTGATCAGTTATACACATACTTGTATGTAATCCATAAATCTTAGACATTTCCTTCTGGGTGGTACAAACTTCGAAGCAAATACGCCSATCAGGGCCTTCCGACATTTACTTAATTAACAGATATTTAAATTTCAAAGCACAAACGTATATTTAGCAGGCAGCGGGAGTCGCTGAAACGCATGGAAAAAACCCCTTGTAATGAAGTAGAAATACAGTATTTTCCTAACATTTGACCCACTGTGCCACCAAAAATACTAACATATGCGTACTTAACCGTATAGATGAATGTTTATGAACATCCAGGTCTGAAGATGCAAGGGCATAGACACACATGTGCACGAATGTGTGCCATCGCTTGAGCGCCCCAGTAACACAGAGACAGACAGTGTGGCCAAAAAGCACCCACCWTCCCTATTCAAAGCGAGAAACGTAAACAAGTGAGGAGCACGTACGCTCTCTGAACGGGCGCGCACTCAGAGCCGCAGAGAGGCGACAACCACTTGCTTGATTCTGGCGACCGCCAGCTGATTTGCCCAGGCCCGCCGCATAGCTAGAGGGCCGCGCAGCGCGAGCAGGAAACTGCAAGAATTTGCCGTACACTCCGAAATCGACTCCGAAAGCGAGCGCGACTGCCACAAGTGTCCGTGCGTGGCGWCGGTTGTGCTTGCCAGCGTTATTTGTGCCGCCACCGGATTATTGCGTTTAGTAGGGATTTCGACGCGTTACTGCACGGACGTATGTCGCGGCAGTTGGACGACGACGACGACGGCGACGACGCTGAGTAGTGAAAGAGACAGAATATATTAGAAGTTGTGCTGTTTTTCGTTTCTATGAAACTCACTCGGGCTCGTCTTTGACTTCGTCACAGCAGTCACATATGAGCGCCAGTGGTAGTGACAGTTCGGTTGAATGTTGAATGTTGACGGTGGCGGCGAGGTTATGGCGTTGTGCTGTTGACATTTGCTATCGAGGCAGTAAACTGTGAAAGGGTACAAAGTCACAACGCGGCGAAGTCGTTAAAAGTAGAGTACAAATTAATCTAGCAAGTATGTATGCGTGCGCTCGCGTTGTGTGGCCAAGTGTGTTCGTGTATGCGCGTTGAAGCGGCTAAAGGAATACGGGAAACCAGAAATATTTGAAGAATCCACTAAAATATGCATTCGCGTTGCATTGAATGTTCGCGAGTTTTCCTTTTGCCCCCCGCGCATGCGAGGCAGGGACTCGTRCGTTGCGTGGCGCAAATAAGTGGAGTGAAATTGCATTGGCAGCGGTGGCGATGTTGTTGCRTGTATGGCAATTTGATGAAGTATGCGGCATGTGGCAAGTGGCATATGCGGCCGAGGTTCACGTGTRCGGCCGCTCTCCCCGCGYACGCTTGCCGCTCCACGGGGTGGTGAACAGTAGCTAGAGYCTTTCCGATTCTTTATGACCTTTTACATGTTGCAGTGGCATTTGTTGCAATATCGTATTTACAGAACACGCATGTGTGGCACAAATCAAGTGGCAATGTGTGCAAATGTAATCGGAATCGTCGCACTGCGTGTGGAATGTACAAATATGCATTTTCATGTACGTAAATTTTAGGGCATTTATTATGCACTCACACACGCACACGCATACACAGGTTAAAGTGGCGCTGTGTGTGTGCGCCTTTTAATGCCACAATCGCATGCAGCACGTACATGGCCAACACACTGCCGCATAAATATATATGTGTGTCTGTGTGTGCGAGTTTAAGCAAGTGAGCTTGAAATGGCCAAGGAGCTAAGTGCCATTGCGTTAAGTCCGAGTGCAGACGAAAAGCTGATTGAAATTGTAATTACAGGAAGAAGCTTGTTCTGAATTTGCTTATAACTAAGAACTGCAATGAAATTGGGGCCGTTTCAAGGGGCCAATACTCAATTGCATACAATTGACCTAACAGGCAGAAGAAAAGCCTTAATTGAAATGAGTGCGACTTGGTCTCTTTGAGTATGCATGAGGCTTACGATAAGTTTGCTGAGGCTCAACTGACTGTGACAGTTGACATGAAAGTGAATTAAGTTGTGCCTGAAAATCAGAAGAGATGAGTTGGTACCGGGAAAACACTCTKCCAGGAGTGCCACACGTTTACACATTTTTTCCCTTTTATTAACAAAAATAGCTAAAGTACTAATATAATTAGGGTACTTTTCCGACTGAAATTCGGGGTATGTTCAATGACACAAATCAATATTTCAATTTTAAAGTTTTCGCAAGCAAAGTCCTATTCCAAATCACAAATTTATTTGCAATGCATTGTGCTTACTTTCAAGGTCATTCGGTTAAAGTCATAAAAATAGTTAGAGATAAGGACAATTTTTTAATCAATTACAGTTTGCTTTAAAAAAATGTTTTTCTAAACTCTTTTGGAACTAAGTAGTGCTGGGGGATATAAATAGACCTCTCAAATAATTCTACTTATACTTTAAAAGGCGTAAACGACATTTTTCCTTAAATAGCCTCCAAGGGAACCTGCGGGTTTAGATTTCAGCAGTTACATACATATGTGTTGCGTTTCATGTTCAAGAGCGATTTCTGMAACTCTGACAGCAAAATATTAAAAATAATAGTTCTTTATTTGATCTGCACGCCATGTGAAAAATTGTCTATGTCATAAAATATGCATAAGAACGGCAAAACAGAACACAAGAATYATTTTAATTTTAATTTGAAAAAAGAAAAAATGCGAGAAACACAAAACTATCCGATGATATGYTTTTGAAATTGAGAAGGTGTGAATTGGTTAAGGTTCCCACAAACACTAAATTCGAAATTCCCACACGCAATAAATAATGTCGCAAAGAAATGCTAAGAGCCATAGCAACCAATGGTTTATCAAGAAATCGCGAGCAGAACAATTTGTGACAGAAGACATTTTAAGGAACAACAACAAAAATAATTGTTTGAAAATTTATGTGACAGCCGATTTCTCAACTGCTCGGCAAAATAATTGAACTTAAAGAGCCGATGGAAATTTGGAAATAAACGGATTTTCGCTATTAGCTCACATAAGTATATACATATCTATGGCTGCATTTAGTTTGTGGAAAATGGATTAAGGGATATTTATATTACTCCGAGCGTTATTGTGCGCCTTCGACGAAGCAAGTATGAAACACAAAAGATTTTTGCAGCACAAAATGAAATAAGCGAAAATCCCGATATTCGACGAAACACTCGGTGTAGGCGCATATACCGACGCGCTCACCTGTTGAAGCTGCTTGGGGCCCTACTAAGGGTCAGTACCAGTCTCTTCGGTAAGTGGAAATGGCGTGTGTGTTTTTTATTGCTGCTTAATTAGTTTGTGATGATAAGCAAGTTTGTTTAGGCCAACCGCAAATAAAAGCTTCTGTATGAAAATAAAAATGTGCCGAGCAAATATTTCGRGAGATGGAAAATGTGCGCTCATAAAAAGTGAATCGCCCCACCTAAAGAGTTGATAATTAATGAGTGTATATATATACATATACATACAAATATGCATACATACATATCGTTAGCCATGTATGTCGAAGCAAGTGTACACATAACAAATGGGCAGGGATCCATTAGCATTCCCTCAATCACTAAGCCAATGAGTCCCGCAGGCAGGGCGTGTACGTCATTTCAATGTTTCGAAATAAAAAAGAAGGCTTTTCATGCTTTCCTTTGCTTATTTACTTTCGTATTTAGTTTTTCGTGCCTMGCTCTGCTTCCCCTTGACTATGACTCTATGAAAAAAATTGCTTACATTTGTGAAATTATGCTAATTACTCGTGAACAGCGGTGGCCCGAGGCATATGAGCACCGAAAGGCTTCTTATTTCAATATTTAGATTTTCGTGCAAAAATAATGGTTCACCAGAAGTAGCTCAAATTTTTCTTCTAAAAGAAAAGAATAAATTTAGAAGGCTGTATTCTTGAAAATTGAG